GAGATCTCCTGAAAGTCCCTCTGGATCTACATTGGCCCATAAACCACCAACCTAAAAGGTTTTCCACCCAATAATTCCAGTCATAGATGGCATAATTCCAAGCTCCAGGTGATGTTCCATGCTGGAATGCAGGAAAAAAACCCCTCAAAGTGCTGAATTTATATTCCTGTGCGTGTTCCCGAGTGCAGAACTGAGGCTCCTGCTCACAAACCTTGTCAGATTTAGCAACTAAAAAAAGCCACGGCTCCAAGAGTGGGAAGTGCTGGGAGCAACAGGAGAGAGGGAAAAGCTGGGGGTGTTTTGAGGATAAATCCCCCCAGGATCAGGAATCCCAGCCCCTGAGTGACCAGCACATTAATGCTGCCTGACTAATTAAATAGAAAATAAACCATTAAAATAAAAATGGAGACAGAGCAGAAATATAAGGAACGCTGGGAATGTTTTCCCGCTTCCCAAAAAAGGCACATTTTGATTTCTTTGGGGGTTTTGGTGTTTACAGTCGACTTCAGCAGCCTCTCCTTTTAAATGGAACGATTCAAGGCAAAATCACCACAGAAAACTGCTCAAAGCCAGTGCCCTGCCCCACTCCAGCTGGGAAAATTTGGGTTGTTTTAAAGGAAATGGCTGAGGATTTCAGGGACTGGGGAAGAAAGAGAGGGAGAGGGTTCATGGAGAGGCTTCAATAATAAAAACACGGAGAAGGTGCCCAAAAGATGAATTAAATTCATAAAACCCAGAGCACAGTGAGACAGGAGCTGTTTGATTCAGACCAACACATCCTGGAGAGAGTTTTAGGCCTCAGGTTTGAGATCCAGAGCTGCCAGTGATGGGATTTTCCCAACCCCAGGAATAAACTCCGTGCCTCAGTTCCCCAGCTGAAAAATGAAGATCACAAGGGCAGTGCAAGGGTGGAACGTTTGGGTGTCACCAATAAAATAAGGGAAAACATGAAAAAATTTAAAACTAACTAAATAATGAACAGAAATCGCCATTAATTGGAGTGTCCTCATTAGCAGCCCACAGGAGCTCTCCCTTCCCAGGCACTCAGGGAAGGGCAGCAATTCCACCCCCTCTCCCTCCTGTTTTCCCCATCTCTGCACCCCAGCAGCAGCTCAGGTGACCCCGGTGTCCCAGCAGAGGTGACAGGGACCGAGCTCTGCCAGCTCTGGATTGGGAATTTGCCACTCAGTTTATGATTTTTGTTGTGGCAGTGCCTGGAGGCCCCAGGGATGGAGGGGTCACGGTGACAAACGGGGAACTGTCCCTGGTTTGAACCCACACAGGGCGAGGAAAGGGAAGCAAGCCCAGCTGAGATCCCCAAAATGTCCCATCTGGATCCCAAAAAGCAGCAATCCTTGCAAACAGCAGCTCAAACACCCCTCTCTGAACACTTCCCAAGTTATTCCTGCCCCCAGCACCCCGGGGGTGGCAGAAAATGGAACTGAAATGTCCCATCTGAGCTGCTCCTGGATCCCAAAAAGCAGCAATCCTTGCAAACAGCAGCTCAAACACCCCTCTCTGAACACTTCCCAAGTTATTCCTGCCCCCAGCACCCCGGGGGTGGCAGAAATGGGAACAAAAGCCACAACCAAAGGTGGAATTGCTGGTGCTGGCAGCGGGATCCAGTGCCTGGAGCATCCTCCTGCTTCCCGAGCTGCATCCCTGCAGGTCCTGCCTCCCTGGAGCTGCACTCTGCACCCAGAGCTGCTGCTCAGGTGAGAGAAGGAACACCCAGACTTCCAGCAGGGATCAGGAAGAGAGATGTGGGCAATTCCCAGTGGGGAATGCACCTGGGAAAATCCTGTGGTGGCTTGGAGCTCATCCCTAGAAGAGCAGGGAAAGGCAGGAGGAAAGGGAAAGGTCTGAGGCTGGGCTTGGAAGGAGCTGCCTGAAGGACAAACAGACAGATGAGAGGTGACAGCAGTGGCAGCAGCACAGATGAACCCCAGCCCTCTGTGCCAGGGCTTCCCACACTGCTCCCTGCCTCGAAAATCATCCCAGCAGCAGTTTCTCTTCCAGCCAGACAAGAGATAGGAGCCAGAGATTGGGAGCGACTGAGCAAACAAGCAGCAGATGAGCAGCACTGGCTGCGGGCAAAACGCTGCTGCCTTGGAAGGAAGGCTGGGCTGGGAGGTGGGGAGAGGGCAAAAGATGCTCGGGCTGATTACTCTGCAAAGTTAATTGTTCACCAGATTGGGATCTGGGCCACATCCATCAACAGGCTGCTTCCTGCCGTCAGGTTTCCTAGACAAACAGCAGGAGCCAGTGGATTTAGAGGAGAGCAAACCCAGCGGGGCAAAGCTCTGCCTGGACAGGGTTCACTCTCCAGCAGAGCCCTCTCGTCGCTTCCCTGCCTGCACAGAGGCAAACCCAGCCCAGCTGAGCTGAGCTTTTGGGGTGTCAGCACATGAATTAGAGCAGAACTCGCTCCAGGCTTGGGATCTCCTCTGAGCTGAGCCAAGCTCCCCTGTCCTGCTGCCTGAAGAAGCTGCCTCAATTTCCCTGAGGATGGAAGGAGAATCTGGGAGGCTCCTACCGAGCCTAAGCCCTTTTGGAAACTCTTACTCTTCTTGGACATGACTCCAAGCAAACAGATCCCAGCTTTTCTGGAGATTCTCAGCCCTCCTGGCCCAAACCTCAGCTCTGTGGAGGCCAGAGGAATGTCCCAGGGTTTACAGGCATTGACCAAACATTCATTTCTCTCAGAAGGCCGGACCAAGGGGACGATGGTCTCAGTAGAAACTGCAAAATGGATATTTTAATGCACGCAGTGAGTGGACACCCAGGGTTCTGCCTGACCAGGTGGTGGGACAGGGAGAACGGAAGGATCCTCATGGATTTGGGAGATCAAAACTCAGCTGAGCTCCCTGTAGCACCCTGAGCCATTTTGCCTCTGTGTTTTACCCTGTGCAAAACGCAGCTGCTCCCATCTGCCTGCTCTGGGTCCAGTGCCAGCGAGGGAAGGCAAAAACTGTCCCCTGCAGCACCCTCTGCACCCCAGCCTGTCCCCAGGGGACAAGTGACACTGGCAAGCAATGCACACGAGAGGCAGCAGCTCAAGATTTAAAGCAGCTCGTTTGGAAGCCAATAAAAAGCAGCCAGCTGCACTTCAGCCACCTGTAACCAGCAATGTGTGACACCATCCCTTCCCTCTGTCACTCTGTCAGCATCACAGCCCCTCTGAAGGGTCCATTCAGGGCTGCACAAAGAGCTGCCTCAGTGAAAGGGGCCTGGAGATGAGCATTCAGTGCTTCCCATCCCTGCCAGCATCCCAGAGCTCTGCACAGCTCAGGGAGCAAAGCCCTGAGAACAAAGCAAGGTCAGGAGTTACCAGAGGGGGGATCTCAGATGTGGGGACACGGCGGTGACGTGGCCAAGGCCAGGCAGAACCCGTGGCAAGGCCAGGGACAGGGGGAGATCTCCAGAGCCCTGATTAGTTGTAATTTTTTCTCTCTGTCCCAGCAGGATGGGAGAGGAGGAACTCCCAGGATTTCTGGCGAGGTTGTTCCACTACTCATTTATTAACTGCTCCCATTTGGACGTGGTACTGATATTTTCCAGTGTGAGTGAGTGAGTAAGCCTGGGAACCTGGGACCAAATCTGTGAGCCCTGCCTAGTGCACAGACACCAAAACTTGCTCAGAAATCTTCTGGTGTGACGGAGAGCCTGGAAATCAGCAAACTCTGAGCTGGGTGCCTCACACACTGAGGAAATTCCATGGATGGGGTGAGCCAGGTGCCCTCCTATTCCTTCTGGGACTCTTGGACATCCCCTCCCACCTTTTTTTAGGGAGGAAAGGATGCTCCACACCACAAACACACTGAGATTTCTGTGCCACCTGTGTGTGCCTGCTGACACCATGTCCATTACCCGACGGCCAGATTCCTGGAGGGAACCTCTTCAGGATCATGGGAACTGCTGTTCCCGACCTCTCCCCTGCCCCACAGGCGCTGTCACAGCCTGGTGAGGCTGGAGAACAGGACTCTGCTTGCACTGACCACATCTCAGCCCCACGTGTTGGTACGTCCCAGATCCACACCCCAAATCTGCCCCACACCACTGGGAGGGAATTAATTAATGAATCCCAGCTCCCTGCAGGGCCCTGTTTGATGGCTCTTGCCCTTTCACAAACCTCATCCAGAGGCTCCAGCTTTCTGCCTGATGCTCCTTCAAAGCTTTTTCCCCTTCAGGCACCTTCCCCAAGCCCAGCACACATCACATTGCTTTCCTTGATGCACAGCACAAAACCCAGCGCCAGCAGCCCCAGGCCTGACCCTGATTCTTTCTTCCTCTCAGAGCTGATGCCACCATTGTGCCAACACGCTCAGCCCAGGCTGTTTTCACCGAGAGATGAGGCTGTTAAAGCTTCTCAGGCTGCCCTGGCACGGTAGGGCAGCTCCCAAGGGGCTGTCTGGGGACAAAGAGGGGGACACGCTCTGGGGCACACCCCCGGGAACTTGTCACAGCAACAGGCAGCGCTGGAGAGATGCAGCTGGTTGTGACAGCCGCCAAAAACTGCAGCGCCAGGGGAATGCCGAGCTGCCAGCCCGGGGCAGGGCTCCCTCCCGAGCCGGGGAGCCACTGGACAGACCCTGGCTGTCACCCCGGGCACTTCCACACTGAAAGAATCCCCCCAGGCCCCTCACAGCGGGACCCACCCAGGGATGACCACCAAAATCCAATACTGGGCTTGACCCGAGCTCCCTGAAACAGATTTAGGACCAAACACGCGCAGGAATCTCCCTCACCAGGGAGCTACAAACCGTACCGAGCTACGAACCGCACCGAGCTGAACCCTCCCTCTCCGTTCCTCCGACTCCAACTCTCCCCTCCCCTCGCACTTTGTGCCCCGCCAGCCCCAAAGGCAGCGGCGGTGGTCTCCAGAGGGGCTGGGGGACGGGCAGGGTCAGGAGAGGGGCTGGGGGAGCGGGCAGGGTCCCGGAGGGGCTGGGGGGACGGGCAGGGTCCCCGGCCCGCGGCGGGGTCCCCCCGGCACTCACCGGCCGCCGAGCAGGTCGCTCTCCCTCCTGCCGTGTCCCTTCCTCCTTCCTGCGGGGCAGAGCAGGGGCGGTGCTGCGGGCAGAGCAGGGGCCGCTCGGGAACGGGGCCGGGCTGCGAGCGGAGCGGGGCCGGCACCGGAGAGCGGCTGGAGCGGGACCGGCACCGGAGCGGGACCGGCACCGGAGCGGGGCGGATGCCGGAGCCGGTACCGGAGCAGGAGAGGGTTGGAGCGGTGCCGGAGCACACGAGAGGAGCCGGTGCCGGTGCCGGAGCAGGAAAACGGTTGGAGCGGTGCCGGTGCCGGGGGAGGGGGAGCGGGGCCGGTGCCGAGCAGGGGGCAGTTGGAGCGGTGCCGGTGCCGGGGGAATTGGAGCGGTGCCGGTGCCGGTGCCGGGGCACTCGGAGCGGTGCCGGTGCTGGTGTCGGTGTCGGTGTCGGTGCCGGTGCCGGTGCCGGTGCCGGTGCCGGTGCGGGAGCGCTGCCGGCGCTCGGCTCCGTGCGGCGCTGGCTCCTCCCCGCCGCAGCCCCGGGATCGGGAGCCCGCTCGGCCCCGCCGGCCCGGGCAGAGCCGCGCACGGAGAGCACAAACACACAAACACGGCGCGGCGATCCCCGCCTCGCACGGCAGGCAGGGCAGCTCCCTCCTGCGGCTCCTCCTCGAGCCCGAGACACCGGCACCGGTGCGCCTTTCAGCCTCTCGGGGCTGTGGATTTAGCAGCCGCACCCCCCACCCATTCCAGCTCCTTGTTGTCTTATATTTAGTCAAACATTCTGGGTTGGCCAAAAATAGAGCAGCCATGGAAATAAATCAGGCTGACTGGAGGTGCCAACGTTGTCTGCCTGAAAGTAATTAATTTCTTATATCCTCGGCTATATTAATCCTCGCCTTCCCTCCGCACGCCGCCCTGTCTGTCAGCAGAGTTGTTGTAATGAGTGCCGAAATCTGGGGGATGTGCAGGAGGTTTAGGGTGTGGGGAAGGGCAGGGGGAAACTGAGGCAGGGAAGGCACAAAATCCATCTCCACAGAGAGTGGAGAGTGGGAGCACGGAAGGCACAGCAAGGCTGGCGAGGAGGACAGAAGGAGACACAAGTTCTGTGGTGGAAAATCCTAAATTTAGGGTCTTCTTTCCAGATGTGGATATTCCACAAAAAAAAAAAAAAAAAAAAAAAAAAAAAACTGTCCAGGAGGCACAAATTTGGGCTTGCTCAGTTCTGCTGCTGCCAGAACTCCTTTCCCCCTTGTTCCTTTGGCACGTGGGAGTCTCGCTGGACTTGCTGACTCTCATTTCTGATCTCAGAACCACCAGCCTGCCTGGGAGACACCTCGAGGAGAGGGGAAGTGCTTTCCAGATGGTGCACCAGGAGCTTCAAATCCGAGCCCCCATGGAGGGGAGGGATGTTCTGGAAGGATCCATCTCCTCCGGCCACCTCAGCCTGTCCCAGGGCAGCACCCTGAGGCCCTCAGCAAGGTTTGGGTGCCCTGGGAGTGGGGTCAAACCTTCAGCAGCAGCTCTTCAGTGGGAGCAGGAGCTGAACCAGCGGGCTCTGAACGGGGCTGCCCCTCTAGGAGCAGGTGGGGGGCTCAAAACTGAGGCACAGTGACCCACAGGGACGTGGTGGCTTTGCAGCAGGGCTGAGAGGCCATCCTTGGTGACACGGGGTGAGCTCTCGTCTGTCAGCTGTGTCTGATGGGGATTGGCATCCTGGCTCTGCGGGGCTCAGGGACGAGCAGCAAGGGTGGGGCCAGGGTGATGTGGTGTGCAGGGTGTGTGTGACACACAGGGTTATGTGTGACACCCAGGGTTATGTGTGACACCCAGGCTGTGTGTGACAGGCACAGTTATGGTGTGACACCCAGAGCTGTGTGTGACACCCAGGGCTGTGTGACACCCAGGGCTGTGTGACACCCAGGGCTGTGACACCCAGAGCTGTGTGTGACACCCAGGCTGTGTGACACCCAGGCTGTGTGTGACACCCAGGGCTGTGTGTGACACCCAGAGCTGTGTGTGACACCCAGGGCTGTGTGTGACACCCAGAGCTGTGTGTGACACCCCGGCTGGCTCCTGTGGCCGCCTGCCCCGCGCTCACCCCTGGTCAATGAGTGCCTGGTCATGTGGGTGCTCAGTCAGCGCCCTGGGAGCGCCCATCCCGCTCCCTTCCTGCTGCTGCCTGCACAAATGGCCCCTTTGGGGGGTTTTTCCACATCCCAGGCTCTGCCTGGCTCTCACTTCCACACTCACCCGTCTCCTCCCTTCAGAGGGGAGATGTCACCCTGGGGAGATGTCTCAGGCACTTCTGGGTCATTCCCAACAGCTCCCAGACCACCTGGAGCCTTGAATCCAGTTTGAAACCGAAAGGAAAAGACATTCCCAGGAAAAACTCCAGCAAATTAAGCTGAAGGCCCCAAACTGGAACTTGAGAGAAACCACGAGGAGAAAGCACCGAGCAAAGGGCAGGAATGTGACAGCAATTAGGGGACGGAGCCACGAGCTCGGCCCTTGTGTCACACCAGCTGCTCGCTGGTGCGGAACATTCCTCATAAACACAAATTACAGCCCTGGGCATGCCAGGCATTGCTGCGGGTGCCGACAGCGCCGGCCCTGGGCGGGATGAGCGGGGGAGCTCCCGGCTGCTGCAGCTCGGGACCGAGCCCGAGGGCAGCGGAGGGGTCGGGGGATGGATGGGGGCACGGCTGAGGGGCACAGCGAGGCCGGTGATGGGGCCGGGGCCGTCCCAAAGCACAGCCCGAAGCCAAGGGTCCCTTGAAGGTGTCCCTTGAAAGTGTCCCCTGACGCTTCTGCGGGCACTGAGGTCGCCGGGGTTAACTCGGTGCCCACCCGTGACCCCCGAGTGAATTCGCTCCGCACAGCCTCGGGGCATTTTCCAAACGTGCCAGCGGAGTGGCTGAGCAGAGGGCAGACAAAACTGCTGGGGCTTTTGGGAGTTTTTTCTAGAATTACTTTGCGTTCTGTGGTTTTTTTTTGTTTTGTTTTGTTTTGTTTTGTTTTGTTTTTGTTTTTTTTGGGGTTTTTTGTGATCGCAGATCCTCAGGGGGGTGTGGGGGAAATGAAAGGTGAAGATGGGCTGGTTGTAGTCGGGAGTGTTCCCAAAAAATGGGTCTGGCTGGAAACTCCAACACTTTGTGTCATGGCTGTGATCACCTCAGCTCGTGCTGGGGGAGACTTCAAATCCTTCTCTTCCTCCTCCTCCTCCTCCCGGTATATTCCACACCGGGAATGGTCGCACAGCTCCCGGTCTGTTCCTGCCTGGGGCAGCCAGAGGAGCTCTGGGTCTCAGCCCACAGCCCTTTTGATGTAAATTGAATTTTTTTTAGGGATACTCGTGCTGTGTTTCCTCACACCGGGCGTCCCCTGCCACCTCCTGCCTGCAGCACCTCGGCCAGGCCGTGAGAGGAGGGGAGGGGGCTGGGGGGGCTGGGAGGGTGGCAGACACCTGGGTGGTGACATCCCGAGGGGCTGGGCTGGCTGGGAGCCGTGTCCAGGCAGCAATGGCATGCACATCACCCCGAGTGACAGCTCCGGGCTCAGTCCTGGCATTTCCTCCTGGTAGGAGCAATCCTGTTTCTTCCCCACAGCAAAAAATCACCCAGCAGGAGCTGCTGCTTCCCAAATCCAGGGAAAAGGGCTCCTGTGCTCCGCAGGCTGCGGGCAGGAGGAGCTGCCAGGAGCTCCAGGGAATGCCGCAGCATCCTGAGCAGCATTCCAGTCACACCCTGAGGGATTTCCCAGGGCTTCTCCTCTCCAGAACCTTCTCTGCAGGGCCCTGAGAGGGGCAAAAGGAAGGTGAGGAACCAGCACAGCAACCCCAGCCCCTGCTCACTGTGTGCCCCTTGTCCCTGTCCCAAGTGGTCTGAGGACGGGAATTTGGGAATTCCGAGGGGCTGGCACGGAGATGGAGCCCAGCCCTGTGAAGCTGTGCCCGCCCCAGGCTGGCTCCTGGCCAGGCACATGAAACCCTCTGCTTGTCCTGCTGGGGACACTGCAGCCAGTGCAGGGGGCTGGGACAGGGGGGACAGAGCCCAGGGTGCCCTGGAGAGCAGGGACAGCCTGGAAAAGCCACCTGGGGAGCAGGGACAGCCTGGAAAAGCCAAGTTAGGAGCAGAGACATCCTGGCAAAGCCACCTTAGGAGCAGGAACAGCCTGGAAAAGCCACCTTAGGAGCAGGAACAGCCTGGAAAAGTCACCTGGGGAGCAGGGACAGCCTGGAAAAGTCACCTGGGGAGCAGAGACATCCTGGAAAAGCCACCTGGGGAGCAGGGACAGCCTGGAAAAGTCACCTGGGGAGCAGGAACAGAGCCCAGGGCAGCCTGGGGTGCAGGGACAGCCTGGCAAAGCCACCTTAGGAGCAGGGACAGCCTGGCAAACCCGCCTTAGGAGCAGAGCAGAGCAGCTCAGGCTGAGCAGAGGTGACAGCAGTGTCCAAATGTGTCACAGCAGGAGAGAGCAGCCCTGCTACAGCCATGCCAAGCGTCCTTTGGTGTAAAACCACTGAATTTTTAGTATAAGAACACCCGGGTTTGGGTGCCAGCTGCTGGCCCCCGTGGAATACCTGTCCCCAGAGTGGGGGACTCATCCCACAGCACACACAGGAGCTCACCTGCGCCGTGCCAGGCTGCAGGGGAGATCAAACACACCCAGCAGCAACACAGCAAGAACCCAGGCCCAGCAAGAACCAGTCAGGAAGGATCCGAGCTCCAAAGCCAGCTCTACCCAGCAGGCACCGCTGTGTCCCTGGGGAGAGCTCCAGAGCTTGGATCTGCAGCCCAGAGGAGCCCTGGCCGTGGCCAGGAAATGCAGAAAGTCGATTAAACCTGACAGCTCAGACTGAGGCTGTGGAGGAACAGCAGCAGGACTGAGCCTGGCTCCTGCGGGGAGCTCCGGGGGTCACATTCACCTGTTTCCCTGCTGCAGGGCTCTCAGGGAGGATGCAGAGCCCTCAGCAGCTCCGTCTGCCCCAGCGCTCAGCTCACATGGCCTCGCATGTGTGCAGCTCCCGAGGAGAGCTCCGGGGCTCTGCAGGGAGCATTTCACAGTCACTGCATCCCTTCCCCACTGCCCTGCCACTCGATAGCAGCGTGGGCAGCGAGTCATGGAAAGGAAAATGTGTTCAATGCCTCCTCCTCCTCCTCCTCCTGCTGCTGGCCTGGCCTGGCTGCTCCCCCCAGGCACAGGCAGGCACGTGGAAATCATTGCCCGGAGAGCAGAGCTGTGTTTCAGCAGCAGTGCCAGGGCTGGGGTGAAAGCTGGCTGCTGAATCGAGGAGAACTGGGAAATGGGGCCATGCTCCAGTGCCCAGCCTGCCTCGGCGGGAGCTGCTCGCTGGAGAGGGCAAACGAGCCCAGGGTCAGAGCCCAGCCCGGGCTGGGGCTGGGCAGGTCTCAGGTGTCGGCACCCAGGACGTCCCTCCGGGTGACCTGGATGGTCTGGGCCCCTGGCAGGGCGCTGAGGAGCCCTGGCAGAAGGCAAAAAACACTTGGGGATTCGATCTTAGCCCCTGGGAGAAATTACCAACCTTGTATGAAGAGTCACAGGTCACAGAAGTCTGAGTAGCATAGCAGTGGCAATCACAGGGTGGAGGAAAAAATTTGGAACACTGTGCAGGGGGGTTTAAAATCTTGTACAAGGGGGTTTAGAACCTTGAACAGGGGGGTTTAGAACCTTGTACAGGGGGGGGTTTAAAACCTTGTACAAGGAGGTTTAGAACCTTGTACAGGGGTTTTGGGATTCTGTACATGGGGGTCAGGGGCTCCCAAGAGGGAGGGATTTGGCCATGCCCTGTGTTC